TATGTATCTATCTATCTTTGTACTTATTTATTTATGTATTTTATTCACTGACCATGTACTTTACCAAACATGATATCCTTCTCCAGGGAATGGTCCCATCTGACAACATGACCAAAGTAGGTGAGAGAAAATCAGGCCATTTTCCCATCTAAGGAGCATCCCAGCTGCACTTCCTCTAGCACAGACTTGTTTGTTCTTCTGGCAGTCTGTGGTATTTTCAGCATTCTTTCCCGACACCACAATTCAAAGGCATCAACTCTTCTTTGGTCTTCCTTATTCATTGTCCAGCTTTCATGTGCATATGAGGTGACTGAAAGTACCATGGCTTGGGTTAGGTGCACTTTAGTCTTCAAAGTGACATCTTTACTTCTTAACACTTTAAAGAGGTCTTTTGCAGCACATTTTTCCAGTGCAATATGATGTCTGATTTCCTGACCCCTGTTTCCCTGGGTATTGATTGTGGATCCAAGTAAAATTAAATCCCTAACCATTTCAATCTTTTCACCATTTATCACAATTTGATTATTGGTTCAGTTGTGAGGATTTTCATTTTCTTCATGTTGAGGTGTAATCCGTACTGAAGACTAGTTTTTGATCTTCATCAGTAAGTGCTTCAAGGCCTCTTCACTTTCAGGAAGGAAGGTTGTGTCATATGTATATTGCAGGTTGTTAATGAGTCTTCCTCCAATCCTGATGCCACGTTCTTCTTCATACAGTCCAGCTCCTTGTATTATTTGCTTAGGATACAGATGGAATGAGTATGGTGAAAGGACACAACCTTGATGCACATCCTTCCTGATTTTAAACCATGCAGTATCCCCTTATTCTGTTCGAACAGATTCCTCATGAGCACGATTAAGTGTTCTGGAATTCCCATTCTTCTCCATGTTATCCATAATTTGTTATGATGCACACGGTTGCATACCTTTACAAAGTCAATAACACACGGGTAAACATCTTTCTCTGTGTACCCGTATTCTCTGCTTTCAGCCAGGCTCCATCTGACATTAGCAATGATATCCCTTGTTCCATTTTCTCTTCTGAATCTGGCTTGAATTTTTAGTGCTTCCTTGATGATGTACTGCTGCAACGTGGTTTAGAATTATTTCCAGCAAAATGTAACTTGCATGTGATATTAATAGAGATTTAAAAAGCCATGGAGTT